CTAATAGTCGAACGTAGGATATGACTGACTGATCAATATGAACTTGAACATGAGCATGATTATTTATTAATAAAGGCTAGCTTAAAACTGAAAGCTAGTATTTCCTTTATTAATAAAATACGGGGCGTTACACGAGCCGCCGCCGGTCGTCGGTGAAAATCCGACGACAATTTTTTTTTTCTTTCGCGCGTGTTCGAGCATCCTTCCGGGCTCTGGTCCTGTTGGATTTTCGAGATTCGTTGATCTCTTGTGATCTCCCGGTAATTAATCCACGATCACAATACGAAAAATATAATTTGCAAAATTACATAATCCGATCTTAGATGCAACAAATGGATGTACAAGTTTTTCTAAACAAAATAATTAAATCTATCCGGTCAACCTCCGGGCGAATAATTATTACAAACATTCATTCATAAAATTCCTCGACATGCCCGAGACTTTAAAAACAAATTTAAAACCCATACATCACATTCAACAACATTCATCAAACACATAGTCGACCATAATAGTGGATTAAACTAATTCTTGCAAAACTGAGTTATGCAAATATAATCCAATATATGGTTGCGTTTGAACCCATCTTGTCAAATAAAGCCATATAAATTCAAATTTGTACAAAACGAATTAAACCAACTGCTCTGATACCACTTGTTGGGATCTATGAAGATCTCGTTATGTACAAATTACGAATTCAATAGCAAACGTAAACCTATTCCTAACGGATCTAAAGGTTTGCGCAGAAAACTCACGACTTAAAATTTATGGCGATCTGGCTGATGTTCCAGATGGTCGTACAATCACACGAACTGGATTGGATCATGAACAGGACGTCGGGATCACAATCGGATCGCATGGACAGGCTGGCCGGGTCGGGATCGCGGGTCGCAGGCTACCGGCGTCGGGTCGCGGGGTAGCGCGTGTCGTCGATGGCGGGACATGGCTGGGTCGTGGCTCCGAGAGGCGCGTCGTGGCGGCTAGTCGCGGGCTCTGGCTGGGTCGCGATCGGCAGTCCAGTGGTCGGCGATCCTCAGGCTTGGGCTCGGGGATCGTCGACTGTTGTAGAAGATAATCAGGTCTCGAACACCTATTGATCTTCTACTTTATATCTCTTACACCTTCTTCAACTTGTACCGGTAGAACAACAAGAAGAAGATAAAGCTCGAATGGGAACTGAGAAAGAGAGAGAGATGGCGGACGTGTGGGGCGTGACTTATGATGTTTTCTCTCTTCCCTAAGCTTAATGATATATATATAGAGCTACAATAGGGATCCTTAAGAGATTAGAAGAAGAGCTCATTAATTAATAAAAATACTTGTGGGTCAACCCACTTATTCTAGTTAATTAAATAATGTTAAATGGGCCACAAACATTATATTATTACACTCCTTTTTCCTAGTCCAATTTACAATTGAGACTCCAATAATAATTAATCAATTTATCTCCCCATGTTTAAGATATAATGTCCATTAATTAATTCTATTACTGACAATCAAGAATTAATTAATTTATTATTATTTCACTGAAGCTAGCGGTCGTTCATCACATTATTACTATGCCAGAATTTAATCCACCTGCAAGGTTTAGCATAATAATCATTCATGAACTCACTCCGGGGACATCATCAAACTAAAGCACATGATGACTGTAAATATCCTAACAGCACATCATACATGTAGCAATATTACCCAAGACAGAAGGTCTATTGGCCCAGTTCACTAAGCCTCACCCATGTGAATCAAAGTAATAAGTACTACACATATATGTGTGTTTAATATCTTGCGGGTTAAGAGTACGCAGTAATTAACCGAGGCCTAGTTTGTTTACGATGATCAGTATAAAACAAACTGCTCCTCTCTGAGATCCTGTTCAATACATAAATGTACTAGTGCAACTAATCAGTAAAGACAAATTGTACAGTTGACACTACAACCGTTCTGATGGGGTGTTCATGTCCATCTAGGTTGTGAACCATTAATTCTTGTTTCGCGAGTAACTGATAGTATGATCTTCGGTTCGTCTGATGATGACCCACACTATCTAATGCAAAACAACAGAACTTAGAACTTGTTTAATCTAACATGTTTCTCATTCATAAAGAGTAAACGTGTAATATCATCCAAAGCCAAGCTTTCAGTATATAACACTAACACACTGCTCAAGGCATAACAAAATTAAATTCATCCTAAACACTTTGAGCATCAGAGAAAAATAAGAGAGACTGACGAATATCTTTTGCAATTGAATTTAAATCCATGAAAGAACAAGATTATTCGCACGGACCCAAGCAACATGTTCAACTGGATGTGTAGTATGGTTAGGGGTTACCATAGAGCCGTCATTGAACAATACTATGTTCTTAACACTCAACGCCATAAGGACTGCACGGGACCAGGCCACATAGTTGTCACTGGTAAAGGGATCAGCGACGATCACGGCACCAAGATTGTCACTAGCGTGCAAATAGAAAGGTGATGCCGGATCGTCAGATGGATGAGGCATAGTTTATAGATCGAGGAAAAAAAAAGCAATTTATTAGGGAAATTAGAATCAATCGAAGCGAATAGTATGAGGAATACAGATTTCAACCGATTAAGACCGATTGTGACCAAATCAACCAAAAAAATGAAAGAACATGACAGATCGAAAAAGTATCAATCAATCGAGATTTGATCGATTATGTAAAGAAAAGTGAAATCAGCAGCGAAAACTAGCAAGATCGAGATGATCAGGTAACTGATACCATATTAAGAACATAAACATCGAATTCCATTGAATCAAAAAAAAGATATGTAGATATTTTGCGATGAACATTGAAATTGGTAAAGGGAGAGAAAAGGAGCAGCAACAGGTGAGCTCAGGAAAAGAAAAGGAAAAAGTGAGTAAAACTTAACCCTAATGTGCTATTTATAGGGGTGCTGAAAATGCAGATACATAAGAGTCTAAGGACTAAAATATAAAAACTATAATATTTTAATAAAAATCTTAAGTATGCAAGTGAGATTTAGATTGAAATTACATGTATGGTTTTTTCTTTTGAAATCGCAACAAATCTTGAAAAGTCATAACAAATTATCATCTCAAATAAGTTAAATCCCTCACAATTTTGTATGGCTTTTTAAAATATCAAATGAATTCAAAACTTTAAAAAGTATTAAAAAGTCTAAATTAAATATACCAAGATTGCTCGTTTGGTTTAGGGGAGGTAGTATTCTATTCTTTACCAGGTAGGTGTGTGTTTAGTTTAGTTAGTGTTCAATTCTCCACATATTGGAATAGATATTCTCTATTTTTGGGGCTTTTTAGTTTTCTTTTATGTGAGAGCAGTGACGGATCTATGAATTTTATTCAAGGGCTCGATTTTAACTGTTAAATAACAAGCTTGTAGTTTAAGTAAAAACACTCATTTCATATAAAAATATATTTACAATAAATATAAATATCGACATGCTTTTAACTTAGAATCCTTATCAACCTCAAACTTAAAAAAAAAAACAAAAAAAAAAAAAAAAAAAAAAAGTAAATAAAAACAATGAGATTTCATGTATTTATAAATTAAGTTCAACGTCTATAATTTATGGAAAAATAAGTCTTTGTTGTTGAACAATTGATTTAAATTGAACTTTTGAAGCATGTTGTATACATATTTGTTGATGAGAGTTTATCAAATGAACTATTTAAAAAAAAAATAAAGTCAAAAAAATGTGATTGCACAAAAAAATCAACATTAAAAATGTAACAATCAAACTAAATACTCGATTTTATCAATTATTATATGGATTTCTATTAAGATACTGAAAGAATAAATCGTTATAAATAATTTCAAAACTTATCTAGAGTTATAAAATACAAGGATTGTTAGTACATTTTTTAATAAATAAATAATACTATTAATTAAAATTAAAATAACATAGAAAATAAGTTTTAATTAATAATAATTGTAAATATTTTTTGCATCTCTATACATATATTATAGTATAATATTTATGTATATATATATTGACTTTAAAAAAAAAAATTGGGGGGCCCACGGCCCCTGGGCCCCACCTCGCTCGTTTATGTGAGGGGTTTTAGAGTCCAGCTTCCAATTCCAGCGTTCTCGTAGTTGTCGGAACTTTAAACTCCCCTTCCTCGTTTTTCTAGTTTAGGACACTACTGTTAGTGCTCCTCCCAGATACACAAAATATGCACAAGAAACATATATTTGATCCAATTTTTTTGAATCATAGTGCTAATAATGGACTAGATCAAAATTACTCAATTAAATTCTAGTGCTTCTTCTATTAGCGAAGTTTCTAGAAAAAAAAAATATATCAAACGACGCAATACAGCTTGGGTCGCTACGGAAACAGCCTCCTTGTATAATTACAAGTGTAAGGTCTGCGTACAACTGACCCACCGAACCCCAACCAGTTGGGAATATATTGGGTATGTTGTTGTTGTATACATCATAAGATAAATAAAATTGTTCAAATGTTTACAATTGGGATGAAAGTGTATTAATTTTTTATTTATCAATATTAAATTTAAATATAAAATTTCACAATTATATTAACCGTATATGTTATGTATGAAAACTACAAAAACTAATTCTTGAATATATTATGTAACAAAAGTTAAAGAAGCCAAATTTAAAGAGAGAATATAAAGAATAAGAAAAATAAAGAAGAGTAAATTAAAAATTGAGAGTTTCAAAAACCATAAATATTCGTTGTACTACTTAACATTATTAGCAAATTTGCATTAGTAACCTTAAATATTGTATATAATGTATGGTACTGAAATTTATTTATTTCTCACTTGAAACAGATTGCCAACTCTGCTTTCCACACTACCTTATAAAATGAACACACGGGAAAACAAAATACATCAAAAAAAATACTTCATTTTTGTATGAACATCTGATTCTGTGTATCCTTTACATTTAACCATATAGGACAGGAAATAGGCTCTTCTTTATGTAAGGTTAAGCTATAAAGATCACATGTGGGCAAGGTGATCACCAGCTTGTGTCAAAGACAATTTTGCCCTGCATCCATGTCCTCAACATCTCCAAGGAATATTTGGGTTGATCCATGGGAACCATGTGGCCGGAATTGAAAAACTTGAGAAATGTTAGCGGCCCATAGCCCTTTTGAAGCCCAGCCTCTGCGCCGCCCACTCTAAATGTGACTGTCTTAGCTGCTACAAACTGATTCTGCCCAGACCATTCCATCGCGTGAACCCACCTCGAATTCCCTGCCCAAACATCTCATTCGAGTACATATATATATTTTTTTTAATATTTTTGACATGTTAAAGTACAAATGTCTTTACCTAGCCAGTTGCATATGAGATCATATTCCCCGGCATACACGAGAAATTTGATCCCATCCTCCAACAGTGCCGGAATTCCGAGCTCAAGATTTCTCATCCAGTCGGTGATCATAGCATCGTAAACGGTCGTACTGCAAGACACAAAGTCAATGTCACCTACACCAAGGGCACTTTTGACCGACTCTAAGCTCAGGAATCTCTCCATGTTAGAGAAGTCGTAGCAAAGTCTGCCCTCGCATTTCTTTCTTATGTCATAGTACTGCATGTCAAACATAAAACATTCAAAAACGAAGTATTAATAAGATTTTCTTCATTATTACATGTTTGTTATACGTAAAAAGAAATTTTACTCGTACATTTACACCATCAGCAAGTTGCAATATCCGGTTGAAGACTGCATTGCAAACCATGTAAGCCGACACACAAGAAGAACCACCTTCAACTCCTAAAATTTTTTTTAATTAATAACTGATTAGTTAATAAAATCAGAATTAAATTTCAGTTGAAGACATCAGGACAAATTTACCACAGAGCCTAGTTGCTTGCTGACATTCCAAAATAGACCGATTCATGCTCCTGTGCTCGGATTTTGTGATCAGTTTATTGTCCAGAGCATAATCAGCATATGCCCCGTATTGAATCTCGGGGTTTGTTAGTCCATTTCCAATTGCAAATCCCTGAAAGAAATGGGCAATGAATCAAATGTAAAACAAAAACAAAAAAAAAAAAAAAAA